AGGGGGGACACGATTGCTCTCTTTAAATATATTAGAGGGATAAATACCAGGGAGGGAGAGGAATTATTTAAGCTTAATATCAATGTGGACACAAGAACAAATGGATATAAGCTGGCTAGTAGGAAGTTTAGACTTGAGATAAGACGAAGGTTTCTAACCATTAGAGGAGTGAGGTTCTGGAATGGCCTTCCAAGGGAAGTAGTGGGGGCAAAAGATGTAGCTGGTTTCAAGATTAAACTAGATGGGTTTATGAAGGGGATGGTTTGATGAGATAACATGATCTTGGTAACTAATTGGCCATTCATTATCAGTGGGAAATAGGCCAATGGAGGGATGATAGGAGTTACTATAGAGAACTTTCTGGGTGTCTGGCGGGTGAGTCTTGCCCACATGCTCAGGGTTCAGCTGATCGCCATATTTGGGGTCTGGAAGAAAGGAATTTTCCCCCAGGGTAAATTGGCAGAGGCCCTGGAGGTTTTTCGCCTTCCTCTGTAGCATGGGGCACAGATCACAGCTGGAGGATTCTCTGCATCTTGGGGTCTTCGAACTATTTGAAGGCTTCAATATCTGAGATATAGGTGAGAGGATTATTCCAGGAGTGGGTGGGTGAGATTCTGAGGCCTGCATTGTGCAGGGGGTCAGACTAGATGATCACGATGGTCCCTTCTGACCTTGGAGTCTGAGTAACTTCAGGGGGTAGCCAAGTACAGGATAAACTTAAAAAAAACATCAAGTGGTCTGGTAGCGCTTTATAGACTAACTTTATTAAATCAAAGTTGTCCCATTTCTTAATTAAACAAAGTTCAGCTTGGTTCAGTGGGGAACTGAAGACATCAAGTTAGAAATCAAAGCAATCAACACCAAATGGAGAAGAGGGGAAATAGATCATAATCCGTATCAATGAGCAGTTATGAAAAGTAGACAAGACAAAAGAAGCGAATGAGTTCATATAAAATTCCATGTCTGGCAGGTCTAAGGACAAGAAGAAGGTTTTTTAAAGCGTACACACAAGAACTCCTGGCAATGATATAAGCCCTTTAGTGGAACAGATGGTAAAACTGTTAACAAGGCTGCAAAAGCAGAAGAGTTCAATAAATATTTCTGTTCTGTATGGGGCAAGATGCAGGTTGATGTATACATCAGATAGGGATTTTTAAAACAGCATTCCTGGACAATTTGCACCCGAAAGGCCTAAAACTGTTAGCCGAGGAGATCTCTGGCCCATTGGTGTTTATTTTGAATAAACCAGGGATCTCTAGTCTGGCCTTAAAATCCCTGACTCTACTACAACTCTAGCTTTTCCCATTGTCTATATAAAGGTCCCATCCTTGTTTTTGCTCTTAAAACCATTCTCATAAGTGGCTCCTGATGTCAGGTGTTTGATTGGAAGACACCTTGTGGCTTCCTCCTCTCTGCTGTTTTTTGGGGTGAGTCAGGAGGTGGGGGAGGGGGTGAATAGGAGTGGGGAGTGGTGTAGAGTGAGGTCCAATTCTGGGCTCTTGCCTTCCTGGCGTCCAGGTGGGCCCACAGGCTGTCTGCTCTCTTGATGCCTCTCTGTGGAGTGTGTTTGAATCTTGCCTGGCTTGCAATGGCCTTCTCCAGTAAGGGCAGTCATGCGGCATGCCTGGGTAAGTACAGGAGCCCTCTCCAGACTGTTTGAGCAATTCCTGTCCTGTCCTTCCCGTCCCAGTCCTTGGAGCGCTAGCTAAACCAGCAGTTCTGGATCTTCCTTTGCCAAACAGCCAAGGTTCCTAGCCAACCGTGTCTGAATTTGCTTTCTGGCTGGTACCTACCACTCTTCCTTTCCTCCTGTGCACATGGCTCACTTGGCCCTGCCAGCAAGGAGGCAGGAACTATGTGTAAAGCTGGGGAGCAAGACTGCACAGAAGACATCGGATCCCCAGAGCCCAGGTCACGTCCTTTGGGGAGCCCTGGCAGGATGGCGACTGCTCCCTCTAGTCACAGCTGAGAACTGCCTTTGCTTGCTCTGTACCCCCGGAGAGGCAGGACTGGGCTGTTCCGGGGCTGCCCAGAGATGCCAGTTACACAGGAGAGAAGCACGGTGAAGACCTGGGGAGGCTTGGGAGAGATTCTCCTTCCTTCCGTCGCTCTCCAGAAGGGAGCCACGAGCGTCTCTCTCCGAACGGCCCTGCAGGTTGCCCTTTGCGTGCGGCAGCGGAGGAGAGCCAGACAGGATCTGTGCTGAGAAGAAAGGGGACGCAGCTTCCCTAGCTCCTCACTGGGCTGAATGCAGCCGGTGCTGCCCAGCGTGGCCTCCAGGGTCTCCCTGTCTCCTAGCCGGGGCGGAGCAGGGGCTGCTGACAGCACTACATGGCCCAGCTGCTAGACAGTCACACTGGGGAAACCGTTTCCTGATCCGTCTTCTGCTGCCCGGCAGCAGCCCACTGCCAGTGCAAGGCGTCATCCCCAGGCCTCACTGCCCTTCTGTATTTCTCTTGCAGATTAATGTTCTCCGAAACCGCATTAGCGATCACCAGAAGGTGTAAGTACCCGGGCTGCCTTCTGCCTCCCCCAGCCGAGCCCTCTTGGCTCTCTTCCAGCCGCCCTCCTTCACCCCTCGCCTGCTCGCTGCTCCTCTGCGCTCCGCCCTTTCCCTGCGCCCTCTCTCCTCCATCGCTCCTCCTTGTCTGTCTTTTGTTCTGTCGCCCTGGCCTCTGCCTCCCCTGCTCCCCATCTTGCTCCTGCACATTCACTAGCACACAGAGGAGACCAGAGTCAGTGTTTTTATCCTGTTGTGCTTCCATCCTTCCTCTGCTCCTGCTCACACGCTTCCCTGTTCTTCCTCCTCTGCCCATCACTTGCTTCTCCCCCCATCCCATGAGCTTTCCTTCTGTAACCTCATTGCACAGATGGGTTGTCACAGGTGTCCATGTCTCTGCCTCTGAGCCACAACCACCTTTAGGGTCTGGCCCACCTCTTGCTGCCAGCTGAGACTCCTTTAGCTCAAGCATCAGCAGTGAGTGCTGAAGGTGCTGGGTTCAAACCTTGAAGACGAAGGCAGGGGAGTCCTCCTTTGTCACCCGTGAGGGAGCTGTGTTAGTCTGTAACTTTAAAAACAAGTAGTCCAGGGGCACCTTAGAGACTAACAAAAATAGCTAGGATCATGAGCTTTCGTGGGCAAAACCCACTTCCTCAGATGAGTTGGAGTGGAAATGACAGAAACCAAGATCTATATAACAGCAGACGTACTGATGTGAAAAAGCGGGTGTTAAAGGCAAGTGGAATTGTTTTCCCCTTGTTGTGATCCTGTGTCCAATACTGGCTGGCTACACAGCTTGCATCTGAGTGAGATACACACCCGCTGTGTTCCTCCTAAGATCCCTTATGCTTTGTGAGGTATGGCTGAGCTTTGCTTAAATAAGGTATTTAAGCGCCACATGGTGGCTGAGCAGTATAAAACAACGAGGAGTCCTATATTATCTTCACAAAGGCACAAGCCCATGACTGCTGATGCCCAGATCAATTTGCTAGCCTGTAAGGTGCCACAGGACTCCTTGTGTTTCAGCCAAAACAACACTAACACAACTGCCCCTCTGAGACTTGTCACGGTATAATACAATTAGCATTCCATTGCCTCTCCCATTTGCAATATTTACACGGTCACGCTGGTTTTGAAGTTCAGTGCGGATCAGTCTGTTAAAAGTGTCTGAAATTTGTACTGGTTTTCTAATGACGTGATCCAAATGCATAACCGCTCAGGCTTCTGGCTATCTGCTAGTTGCAATGACCAGCTGCATCCTCATCTTGTTCTGGATCCATCATTTGTAGAGTTTGTTCTGACGATTTTTGTTTCCCGAGGAACAAAAAGTAGGTTGTTGACCTGTCCTGGGTCAGTCTTGATCCCATGATCTGTTGGCTACATTATTTGCCTTTACAACAGTGGTAGTTGTCCATCTTCTCTGACATGAGCTTAGTCAAGTCCCAGGTTCTAGACCCGAGTGAAAGTGTTCGTAAACTCTTTTAGCCCTGTTATCCAATCTGGCTGCTGTCTTTGGCCAGTTTGGAGAGAGAGCGGATGCTCCACTTTTGGAGAAGAGTATGAGTTGTCTTCTCATCAGGAGTTGCACAGGGCTAAATCCAATAGCTGGTGGTGATCTGTAGCTCAGAAGAGCACAGAATGGATTTTCCTCTGTGAAGATTTTCTTGGCTGCCTGTACAGCTCCCAGCTTCTCCATTTGCTTGTGGCTAATATGGCCTGCGAGTAATATGTCCTAGTAATATGGCTTGCTAGTAATATCTAAGTCCTATTTAATTCAGAATGAGTTATATTCTGCTGCAGTGAATTTTGGCCCATCTTCTGTCACTGGTGGTTCCAGAATACGAAAGGTGAGCAAAATTGCACATCAGTGTCTTGATAACACTGTGACATGCTATTTCTCTCAAGTATAGTATTTCCATGTACCTGGAAAAACAGTCTATAGCGGCCAGGTAATGATATCCTTTGAGATCACCCGTATCTGCAGCCAGTTCCCTCCAACATCTCTCCAGTAAGGGTGCTGTGATTAAAAGTGTTGGGTTGGTCTGTTAGTTCTGTGACATTCACATGCAGATACTTTCTTCTTTACATCCTTGCTGATACCTAGTCACCACAGTGACTGGATTACCCATGCTCAGCATGTAGTTAATCTTTGATGTCCTCCATGGACGAGGTTTGGGATTTCTCCTCCTATTTCGTTTGGAATGACAATGCAGTTGTCTCTAACCATGAGTTCATTTGACTTGCTAGTTTATTCAGGCATGGCAATGTAGTGTCTCGTCATTGACTCTGTGAACTTTTAGATAGGTGGGCCAGCCGGCCCTAATGGAACTTCGAACTTCCTGAAGTTGTGGGTCTGTCAAAGTTGGTTTTTGTATCTGTCCATGGGTGCCTTTACATCTCTTCCAGCTGACGGGTCGCTAAGTGTGATGCAAGGCTCTGTGTCAATATCTGTTACTGCCAGATTTCTTCCAGGAACATATTTAGCAATTGGGTTAAATTGCATTAACCGCAGCAATCAACATTGGTGTCTTACTGGTACTTCATCCAGTCCTTTTCTGCTGAGGAAGGTTACAGGTGATCTGTGGTCTAAGTGTAAATACACCCAATCCACAGATCTAGCTGTAAAAGTTCTCACATACCCATACGGTTCCACCAAAGAACCATGTATCAAAACGTCGTCCATGAACAGTACCACTCCGTCTGTGTGCGTTAGCAGTTCTGCAATCTTTGCAAAACGTCAGGTGCACTCATGATTCCAAAAAGTAAACTGACAAAAACAAACTCTTCCCCCAAATGCGGTAAATGGTCAGTTAAGCATTGTCTTTGGCTAAAGGAATTTGCCAGAATCCACTGGAGGCTTCCACTAGAGAATACAGTCGCTCCTTTCATCCAGTGTGTGCCACCATGGTATGCCATCTGGGCGGTGAATTCTTCTCCTCTGACAGCTGGAGTTGTCCATCTTTTGTCTCCATCCTCCTTAGGACTCTGTTGTGCTCGGGGATCAGATACAGACTGGCTCCAGACCTTATTTCAGAGCATGAGACACACTAAATAGTTGCATCGAGAGATTCTTTAATGCATAGCTGGCTATGGCCGAGTGTAGCTTGAACACAGTGTTTTACACACAGGGCATACTGGTGACTGAACAGTGTAAGACAGCTCAGCTCCTGGTGAGCCTTTGTTCCCCTGTGTTCCCTTCTCTCCTCCTTTTTTCACTTGGGTATCTCCCGCCTCCTTTCCCCCTCTCCCAGTGACTGTTCTCCCCGACCTTTCCCCGCTGTCTCTTCCACTCTGCTCATTTTCCCTCTCCCCCCATCACTGCTGCCACCCTCCCCCCTTGTTGTCGTTCTTTCAGCTGCTCTTGGTTTTTGGAGACCCAGCTGTGGGGGATTCTGGGCCCTGGCAGCTTTGCTCCTGGAGGGGGAGAGAGGGGGTGAAGGAGGAACAGTGGAAGGGCCTCTGTGTGGAAGCTCTTTGCTCCTCGTGGCTCTCAGAATCCACAGGGCTAGGGAGGAATATCCCAGCTCCTTGTGTGGGACGTTGCCCCCTTCCCTCCCAGGAAGTTCCCCCTTAACTGCCATGTTCTTTTAGAGGAGCAGGCTGGGGCTGCCCTTTGTGGGGCAAACACAGGCAGTGGGGTGACCAGCCCAGACTGCTATAGGGCACCCAGAAACCTTGCCCTCTCTCCAGCTAGCCCAGTGGCTCTGAGGGCCTAGCCCTGACTGGCTCAGGCCTACGATCCAGCTAACCCAGCATCCTGGCCTCAGTTGTCCTCTCTTGCGGGGCAAGAATGACAGGATCCAGTGCCCGATGGGCCCCCTGGCTCAATGGGAGGGGCTCCATTGAATGTTGGGGTTTCCCATTTCGGGTTGGAGACAGTTCTCTTGTGCCTTAGTCGCAGGGGCTCCTTGCTTTTCGTGCCCCCCTTATGTTTGCCTCCTTGCAAGGAACGATTCACGTAAGCAGGATCAGTGGGTTCCAGTCTGTTCTCTTCCACGGGTGGAATTGTGAGTCCAATGCCGTTTTCACTAGTGCGACTGAGAGGGGACTCGGGCCCAGGTGGGGAGAGGGGGTCACTCCCGAGTCTCACCACAGTGAGTGAAAGTGAACACGGCTGCGTCCCTAGAGCCTCTAAGGAAAGGGAAAATTCTAGTGAAATGTTCTCCCCCAAATTGTCCCTTTTTTTAATCACAACTTTGAGTTTCAGAACCTTTCCGCCAGTTCCCTGCATGGCATCTCCAGGCCCTATGGAGATGTACTTAGGAGGGAATAGCAGAACTTGGCAAGGCATTGGGATTATGTTCCCATGTCGTGTCTCTAGCGATCAGGAGCAAGAGGCAGAGCTGGACAAGGGTAGCCCAGTAGCTAGTGAGTCCTTTAGCCTTTGCCTGGAGGCATCAGACCCTCTCCGGTCCGTACAAAGAAGCAGGGTCGTGCTGCTCTAGCAGCGCCTTTCAGACCTTGCTCCCTGAGAATCAGGCCCAGATGCTGGGAGCGTGCTGCTGTTTACACCAAATCTCTCTTCTCTCTTCCCCCTGACGGGACCCGGCCCTGCAGCAAAGGGTGAGTAGCATGGCTGTCTTGGTGCTGCATGGGGCAGATCTGCTTTCCACTGCATGCATGCTGCATGGGGAAACTGGTTTGAAGTGAAGCTGGCTGGGAGAGGGCAAACTAGGAGCCATCTAAGAGCATCCTGTCACCATGGTAACTTGTACCCAGGGCCGCTTTTCATGGGACCCTGGGCTTGGGCAGGGCAGCAGCAAACGGAGCAGAGCAAGAAGGAAACCAAACCCCTGCGGGCTCCTCTTATTTGACAGGTCCGGCGATGACGGTGAAAAATCGGACTCCATAGAGTATTATTCTGTTTGGCGCCTGAGCTCTGTGAGGGCCAGTACATCACATGGGCTGGTTTCTCATCCCTGATTGGATGCACTAGGCTTTATCAACAGGAGGGATTCCTGAGTCAATGCACTTCTCCGGCCTTGCAAGTCGCTGGAGCCACACAGGCCCTGTGGGACTTACAGCAGCCGGCCTTCGCTGCCCATGGGGCGGCCAGGGGCCTCCCCACGCTAGCAATAGGCAAACTGCTCCCGGGCAGAGGCAGCAGGGACGGGCCAGGCCAGGACAGAGCTGGGAATTTGTTCCCGAACTCTGGAAAATAAAGGCCACTTTTATCCTTACTGATGTGGGGCCGGATCCCTCCTGGTGCAGAGCAGCGCTGCTTCCTTACTGTAATGGAGCCAGATTACGCCACACGAGGGTTTGGCCTAGGCTCTTTAACACACTGGCTAATGCTAACGACTTCAGAGGCACCATCTTCGCTTGTATTCACCTCTGCACCAGTGTCTGGGCCCTTCCCTGCCCGCCTGAGCCGAAGGGCCAAGTGAGCAGCCCTGAATGTCACTGTAAAATGCATGGACTGGGGCCCTCTTAGGCGCGAACTTCACCTGCCCTGCTGGGCCGGGTTCTTTCCTCACTGGCAGCTGGTACAAATCAAGAGGGCCGGTGTAGACGAAAGAATCAGGCACAATGCACTGGGTTAACATCCACGCCTCGTCACTGCTGCTTGGCGGAGGGGGATTTTGGGTTGCTATTTCTATCCCGGCCAAGTGCTCAGGGTTCGTTTTCCTAAGGACTCTTTGGGACTGGAGAAGGGGTCTCTGTAGAACAGAAGTGGGGAACCTCAGGCCTGCAGGCTGCAACACACAACATCCACTAGGCTGGGGGCCCCTGAAGTGTGTGGGGGGAATGTGGGGAGCGTCTTTCTGCTTCTCGGCCAGGGGCCACGTCAGGGAGGGATTGGTTTTGGGTTTTTGCTTCTCACTTGTGCGCGGCTCCTGACTGATTTTCCTGTGGGTGTGCGGCCCCTGACCCCAAACAAGTTCCCCAGTCCTGCTGTAGAAACGGGAGAAAGTCCAGAGAAGAGCAACAAAAAGGACGAAAGGTCTAGAGAACATGAGCTATGTGGGAAGACTGAGGAATTGGGCTTGTTTAGTTTGGAAAGGAGAAGACTGAGAGCTGGACTCGATGACCTCCTGAGGTCTCTTCCAGCCCTACAATTCTATGATCGTATGACATGACAGCAGCTTTCACGTACCTAAAAGGGTGTTACAAGGAGGAAGGAGACAAATTGTTCTCTGTAACCTGTGAGGATAGGTCAAGAAGCAACGGGCTTAAACGGCAGCAGGGGAGGTTTAGGTTGGACATTAGGAAAAACTCCCTACCTGTCAGTGAGGTTAAACACTGGAATAAATTGCCCAGGGAGGTTGTGGAATCTCCATCCCTGGGGATATTTTAGAGCAGGTTGGACAGACACCTGTCAGGGATGGTCTAGATGGTGCTTGGTCCTGCCGTGAGGGCAGGGGCCTGGAATGCACGACCATCCATTTCTAGTAGTCTATAATGACCAATGTACCTGCCTTGCCCCAGCGGTACCCAGAGCCCCTCCTTCTCTTAGCTTCCCTTTCTCACCCCTTTGGGGTAACACATTTCAGCGGGTGCTTCTCCACTTCCCCCCTAGCACAAAGGCTGCCCGTGGGAAGACTGTGGTTGGCGGCCGCTGGAAGTAGAACCTGTCAGGCGGGCACAAGGCAGAGGACAGGCCCAGGCGTGGAGAGACGCATTTCTGTTTGGTCATCCAGCTGGACTCCATTTTCCGTGGATCCTGCATGAACCTACCCACCTCCCTGAAGGACCCGGGCCAGTTGTGCTTGCACTGACTGCACGGCACGGGCAGTGCTCTTGTGTGTGGAGCAAATGCCTTGCTAGCTGCTGCTTGCTCTTTTCACTGACCCCTGAGATGTTGTCGTGTCTGTAAATAAAGAGAATCATGAAGCGAGACACACCCTTCCTGCCCAGTCATCTTCTCTATGTCTGGCTCGCTGAGTCTGACCTACTTCCCTGTGTCCAGAAGATACAGGCTGTGGACCTGTTCCTCAGCTTGGTTATGGCATGTCTGTGACTCCATTGAACCATGCTGCTATATGCTGCCTGAGTTCAGGAGCACTATGTCCAGCTGCAGCCGCTGATGGTTTGCTCCCTGTTAGGGATGGATGGATCTTAAAGTTTCAGAAAGATCCCAAACAATGTTCCCCACCCGTGTGTGGAATAATTGTTTTGTGTGCACCAAGGCATGTGTGAAATGTGCACCACCAGGAGCAACACAAAACTCAATTGTGGGTTTTGCGCTAATAAGCTAGGCAGCATTTGAATGTCTCCTGAGCTGAGCTTACAAGGACCAGTGGTCCCAATGCAATTGGACTAATTCCATTTGATTTTGAGAAGCTCTGCTAACACAAGAAGCAATGGGCGTAAAGGGCTACTAGGGAGGTTTAGGTTGGACATTAGGAAACTCTTCCGAATTGTCAGGGTGGTGAAATGCTGGAATAAGTTGTCTTGGGAGGTTGTGGTATCTCCGTCTCTGGAGATATTGAAGAGCAGGTTAGATAGACATCTATCAGGGATGGTGTAGATGGTGCTGGGTCCTGCCATGAGGGCAGGGGACTGGACTCGATGACCTTTCGAGGTCCCTTCCAGTTCTGGGATTCAATGATTCTGGGAAACTCCTGAAAACCAATGAAGGGCTTGTCAACACAGACATTTTGGGTGTGAACCGTGCAGCCACGTCCCACGTGGGCATTGCCCAGTGCACGGAAAGTCGAGAGCGCTTCGACTTTGGCCACGTCTGTCCTGCAGAGCCAGTGCTGGTCTGGCAGCGCCCCGCAGCATAGGTACAGTGTGCTCAGGGGGGTTCTGCCAGTCCGGGCACAACTCCTCCCAAATGACGTGAGTGCTCTTCTGTCTGCAGAGCTGCGTCTACACCGGGGGTTTGTCAGCACAGGCTCGTCACCGGGAGGGTTGGGGGTTTCACCCAGCGAGGTGGCTACGAGTGTTAACTACAGCCCAGCCCTCCATCACCCTGCAAGTCGTAGTTCAGGAGGGCTGTGGGGCTTTCGCTGCACTGTAGCAGTACGGACGTGGGCCGTTGCCACGTGCCCATGGAGTGGGCTGTAGATTTTCACCCGGGCCAGCTGGACAGGAATGTCCCATGTAGCAAAACTCTTTGTCGTGCTAGCGAGTCACTTCCAGCCGCTGGATGGGTCCTTCTCCTGTGCTGTTCCGGTGCCTCACTCCTGACTGGGCACGGCCGAGCAGCGGGAAAAGAAGCAATAATGGAAACCAGGATTTTTCCAGCCTCAGCCCGTTGGTGCGAGGTGCCCCTGCCCAGCACACACAAGTGGGTGACGGGGGAGAGGACAGCCATGAGGCCCTCGCTCTTGCGCTGCTGGCTGCCTGGTGGCCCTCTCCATGGCACCTCTGAGCCGTCACCACGCTCCTGCTCATGGGGCATCCCCGCCGTGTGCTCAGTAACTGGGCTTGGGTGGGGGTCAGCTTACTGGCATCTCCCTTCTGCCCCCAAAAGTAGGTGGCACGATCCTGCCCCCTCCAGGGAGAGTCGCCCTCAGGAGCTGGGGGCACCCCGGGCCTCGGCCACCCTGCGAAGAGCCTCGTGGAAGGGAGTGGCCCCCGCATGGCTGAAGCCAAGGAGAGCAGTGCCCCGGCTGTGTGTGCAGAGGGCAGCCCAGACGATGTGCCGAGAGAGGTGGGCCCTGCCCGTTCCCTTCCCCCATCAATGGGCCAGCTGGTGTGGCCCAGGTGCCGTTGGTCCAGCAGGGCTCACGTAGGGCAGCAACGGCCTCAGCTTGGGATACTTTCCCATCTGTCCCCCCCCCCCGCTCCCCAGGGGCCCTGGGCGCTTTGCTCTGGCGTAGACACACAGCCTGGCCTCCCTGATCCTGCCAGGAGTTGGAGCCCAGGAAAGGGCCATCGACCTGCCTCTGCACAGGCTCGCCATGAGGTGGCACCATGAGCACGCTCCCCGAAGGCCTGGGGTGCCGGCCCCACCCTAGGGGGCCACCTGGCTTCCCACACAGTGGCTGCTTAAAGCGTCGCTGGCCCCCAGCCAGGCCAGGCTGATGCCACGGTCTCAGGGGGCCCCCCCCGCCCCGCCCCATGCGTGGAGCGCTGCGCGGCTGAGTCAGGGTGGAGCTAGCTCTCAGCCAGGCCTCCCCCAGCCCCAGCCCCCCGCCTGCCCCACTCCCTCTCCTGCCTCAAAGGCCTCTCGCTGGAGCAAGCATCCTGCTGGATCCAGAGGGGCCAGAGACCTGACTGTGTGGGGGTGTGTGTGGAGGATGTTAGTGGGGTCAGAACCCAGCCCCCACGTGCCCGCTGCCTGGCTTTGGCCTGTGGGCTCATGCCCAGAGTTTGCACACAGGGATCGGCTGCAAGCTGCTCTTCCCGCTGTTCAGCCAGGAAGTCAGCGGAGGGGCTGAGTGAGGTGCCAGGAGTCCTTGGCAGGCTGGAGTTTCCCGCCTACTGCCAGAGCAGGGCCTAACCATGCGCCCCTTGGCCGTGGGCGGTGGCCCTGCTGCACACACATGGCTCATGGAAACCCGTACAGAGCCACCCACCCCACCGGAGCTGTGCCAGGCTGGGGCCATGGGGCTGGCTCTAAACCAGCCCCCATCAGGTTTGGCTCTTGAAGTGCTCCTCAGCGGTTCACCTGCAGGCGTAGCTGATGCTTTGCAGCCTCTCCGAATCAGACAGGAGGTGGGGCGTGTGGGTTGGGTTTGATTTATTTATGTTGGATGGGTGCAAATCCGACTCTGTGTGCAGAGAACTGATGTGAGATGAGGAACCTGCCTCACCCCCCCTCCCATTACTGTCCTGGGGGAGAGGAGATCTGACTCCACTCCTCCTTCAAGCAGGAGTCAGCCTGTGCAGAGTGAACGCGAGGCAGGTCCAGATGCCCAGGGCAAACGGCTTCTCCCTCCAGGGGCTGAGGAGAGACAGGATTGCCCCTGGTTTAGTCCTGTGTCAGTGCCCAGGGAACACACACAGGTCCAACACCGGCTACGTGACCCCAGTGCTGTCAAAGCCAATGGAGTCCAGATGGTGTCTGCACGCCCGCTAGGTCTATGCAGTGCTGAGTCGGTGCCAGGGTGTTCAAGTCAAAATGAGCGAGAGCGCTTTTATGGGGTCAGCTTCCATTGGAGAGAGCAGCCACGCCGACTGCAGGAGGGGGGCAAGTAGGTAGCTACCCCGGTGCCCGGTGATTTTACAAGGGCCCAGGGATGCTCGGCTACTGCTGAAATCCTGGCTAGCATGTGCAGAGCAGCACTCAAGGCCTGGGGGAGGCCAGGGGGGGGGGGGGGGGGTCCAGAGCTGACCCCACCTTGCCCAGGGCCCAGAGAAGTCTGGCAGCCGCCCTGGAGAAGAGAGGCGAGCTTCTGAGCATACAACCTGGCTAGAAGAACTCTGCCTACTGGGCCCTCGCCCACCTTGTCTCCATGCGGGGGTGTTGCTCGGGGAGAGCAGGGGCAATGGGATGCCAGAGTTTGAAGCCCATGTTGACCAAGGGGAGGAGAAGGGGGCTGGTGGAGCCCCGAGCTGGCCGGTGGGCCCTGTGTGCAGGGAGAGGGCTGGAGCAGGTGGCTGTGGCTTTCCCTGGGCTTGGGTTTAGTCACTCCCCCTCCCATGGGGCTGGCCCAGTGATGAGACAAAGGGCAGGAGATTAGCATCTCCCTTTCATTAGTGCTCAGCCAGGGCCTCCTTGCTGAGCAAGGTGGTGCCCAGACTCCGCCCGAAGCCTGGGAATGGCTCTGCGGGGCCAGCCCTCTGCAAGCCGCCCCCGGGCTCTGGGGTTTGTTGTGCTCATCAGGTTCCTTTCTGAAGTGCTGCCTTGCCCGTGGGAACGCTCCTTCGCCCACAAGCCCAGGCGCGCCGGTCCCTGCTCCCCTGCAGAGGAGCATTCCTCGTCTCGCGACTGTGCCGAAAGACGAGGCCCCCGTTGTGCAATGCACGTGTGCGGCGTGCAATGCACGTGTGCATTGTGCAATGCACATCGGCGGTGACAGTAACTTCACGTTTCTTCCAGGCACGGTCCTATTGCAGCCCGGAGTCCTGCCAGCTCTTTCCAGAGCTCCCTGCTGGCTTTTGCCGCCACTCAGCCAGCTCTTGCCGGAGCTGTGCACCCGCGTCCTGTCACCTCTGGTGCATGTGCACGTCGTGCAACTGTGCACTCCCATGCATGTGGGTGTGGCACCAGAGCTGCCAGCCCCCAGAGGCAAAGGGCTGAAGGGGAATGTGGTGTGACACTGAGGATGGGACATGCGATCCGATCCCCCAGCTCATGATGGCCCCAGCTGATTGTAATTAACAAGATCCTGCATTGGTCCCACCGACAGGCCCCAGCGCCCTGCTGAGACTTCCCTAGGCAGGCTTGATTTTGTGATGCCAAGGAAGGAGAGGGGGCTGACCTGCCAGCAAGGGGAAGGAAAGCAGCCGACTGAGGGAGCAGGGTGGGTTCTGGGAACCCCGCCCATGCCAACGTGCGGAGCCACCCCGGAGCGCAGAACAATGCCCATCCGTCGCTGCTTCACGACTTGGGATGGCATTGCTTGGCGCCCACCCTCTCACCTCTGTAATCCGCACTTCCATCCACTGCTGCCCAGGCTGCTGATGGCCTTGCTGAAGGCGGGATGAAGAAGCAAAAACTGCATGCGGCAGGGGGGTGCCGTGTGGGGAGTAGGTACGGACCTGGAGGTAAACACTGAAGGAGACTAACAATCTGTGGTCTCTAATCTGTCCTGCCGCGTTCCCACAGGCTGGACGCATTCAGCGCTGCGTGCTATGGCCTGAGCACAACACAGGGGAGGTGACTTTCGGTTTTTTTTAAAACTTACTTTCCTGTTGGCCTAGTTCTTCCCCTGCCGTCCTTCGCTAGCCAGCTGGGACCTGCCGACACACTGGGGCTGGCTGTTTCGAGAAAAATTCCTCCG